AAAAAGGCTCAGTCTTCTCGTTCATCAAATAGTAATAAAGGCAACCTGAAGGCGCAATCTCGTGAAGTCACTGGAGTTGACACAGATAATTCCAGTGGCGGCGCCTACATTCAAGCGATGCGAGAATTAGGCAACAGGACCTCAGAGCCTAATCCTACTCCTATCAGTAACTTGCCGAAAGAGTTAGGAAGAGTCCGAGCTGTTTACGATTTTGAGGCTGCTGAAGACAATGAACTCACCTTTAAAGCTGGCGAGCTAATAGTCCTACTTGATGACTCAAATGAAAACTGGTGGCGTGGCAGTAATCATCGTGGCCAGGGTCTTTTCCCCGCACAGTTTGTGTCCAGGGAATTAGAGCCTGGTTCTAAAGAGGCGCAATCTTCACAGGCCAAGTCAGTCTCTTTTAGCAATGTTGTTCAAGTTGCCACAGTTCGAAAGTCTGAAGATACATCTTCTGATGTGCCAACTCATCAAGAATCTCCTTGTTCTCTACCGAAAATAGATCCCAAATTGTTAGATGATTGTCTCAAAATAATAAACTCAGTAGACATGACTTCTGATTTGGACGCTGATCCTCCTGGCTTGGTTGAGCTGGAGGCTCGTTGTTATGCTATGGGTCCTTTAATTGATCCCAAGCTTGAGGAGGTGGACAAGCAATGTAGCACAGTCACAGAGGTTAATCAGCGTCTCTTGGATGCTCTTCAAAGGTACCATGAGCTTATGACTCTATCATTTGGCCCAACCTTCACTAATGCACCAGGTGGGACTATGTTACCACATGACGTAGTATCTGCATGTCAATCAAATCTACCAGGCCTTGGACATTCCTCAGCCCCTGTTGGAGCCGATAGTCTGGCTTACGGATATCCTGTCGCAATGACATGCCCAAAGCAGCCTATTGTAAGTCTCTTAAGTTCCCCCTATTTTGCGCGTCAGTTTTTTTCTTTCTTTTTATGTGCTTGCATTGTGTTTGCTTTTCAAGATTGTGGATTAATTCCCTTTTCTGAATAATTAAGATAAATGTTGATTCTTATGCCTTCGCTCGTCTCCAAAAATAGGTTAACTATTAAATTATGGTGTAGGTAGGGATTTTAATAAGTCTTATGCGATATTTTCCGTGCTCATATGTTGTAATATATTTTCAACTCTGATTTATA